TTTCTGCCAAGATAAACTGAGCTCAAGGAAATTTGCAGTCTAGCTTTTCTTCTGTAATTTTAAGTCATCAGGAGTTGGAATTTAGAAAGCATGAGCTTAATGAGAATAATGTTAACAATAAAAACAATAAAAAATGAGTACCTACTATGTTAAGCACTGAGTGCTTTTCGTGCTTTACTAAGGGCTAAGGGCTTTACTAGGATGTATCATTTACTCTTTAAAAATCTCTGGAGCAGGCATTTCGGGTGTGTGTGTGTGTGTGTGTTTCTGACTATCCAGAATTTATTTAGCAGTGCGGGTTTATCTCTTCTCCACATTCTGTCCAAAAAGTTCCATGTGAACTTAGTATACCCTCAGTAAAAGATGTGGCATATGACCCCAGATCAGCAAGTCAGAGCACTACTTTTCCCCTGAAGACAGTGATTGGTTCATAGATGAGCACATAATCCAAGGTAGGATAACTAACTAAACTACCTAAACTAAATCTGGAGCTTTTGGCTTAAGTTATTAGGAAAAGGCAGGCTCTCCTGTGGAATTTAGAGTCGCAAAAATCAGAGGCTGGAGTTTCTGTAGCCATCTTGTTACCACGAAGGGAAAGCCTGTCTAGGAAAAGTGTTAAATCAGAGGAAGTAGAGATAATTGATAAGGATAGAAAAATCACATCCTGGTGACATTTTTGGAGATCCTGCAACACGTCCCAGAAGCAAACTCTGTCTCTAGGCTTTGTAATTTTTGAAAGACAGTCATTCAATTTTAGCTTAAGCCAATTTGATTTTTCTTCTACTTACAACTGAAAGAATTTCAGATGATGCAAACTTAAAGTTTTCCAAGGTTACACAGCAAAACGGGGCCATGGCTGAAATTTAAATCTGATTAACGGCAAAGCTCCTGCTCTAAGCTGTTATATAATGCTTGCTCTTCTATTATGTTTTGGGCCACTAGAATGAAAGGAAGGATGTGAATTATTGAACAAATGTAAGGGCTGAGTTGCGTATGGGGTGGGTCAGGGCAGTGGGGAACTACAAGTTACTTACTGAAAGGTAGTTTAAAAATTTTCTTGCTTTCAATAGTATCATTCTCTGATGATTTTCTTAATTGATGGAGGAGATTAGAGCTGGAAGACTTGAACACATAGTGCTCTAGGGAACTCTTTCTCCTATTCTGTGATGGCTTAGCACAGAACCTGGCAGCGCAGTGCACGCCAGTGAATGAGTGAATGAGTGAATGAATCAATATATAAACATGGGAGAAAGCCTGAAAAGAGAGCACACTTACTACTATTGGCTGCCTGAAGTAGTCATCCACTGCTGCACCCCGGAGACTGGACAGATTGACCCCATAGAAACATTGCTGGTAACTAAAATATCACAAAAAAATCACCATGCATCTTGTCTGTCATCTGAGTCCCCAGGGCCCACATAGCTGTTATGTGCTATAAGGCTGCCTCATGGGTCCTCTGCATTAGCCCTGCGGAGAATGTTTGCACATATGAAGGGCAGCTGGTCTATAGGGTGTGGCAGGAAATTCTCCCTAGAAAATTTGCAGACCTGTATTTGACATGCGGTTGGGAGAGAAAGAAGGGGAAAACAAGTTGAGTTGAAATAAATTGGGCTCATCCCTCTAATCCCAGCACTTTGGGAGGCTGAGGTGGGAGGATCACTTGAGCTCAGGAGTTCGAGACAAGCCTGGGAAACATGGTGAAACCTCATCTCTACTAAAATTACAAAATTAGCCATGCGTGGTGGCAGGTACCTATAGTCCCAGCTACTTGGGAGGCTGAGGCAGGAGAATTGCTTGAACCTGGGAGGCGGAGGTTGTAGTGAGCCCAGATCATGCCACCGCACCCCAGCATGGGTGACAGAGTGAGACTGTGTCTCTAAACAAGTAAATAAATTTGTAAGGAGATTATCAAGAAGGATATTTGGGGGTAGGAAGACCTTTGAGCTCCTACCCTTGATCTCCCCCGATGGGTGGCCCCCGGCTCTGTGCTGTGCTGTTCAAGTGCTGAAATGCAGTTTCCTTGGTCCTCCCACTATCCCAACCAAGAGCACGACTTTAGCTCTCCAAAGCCGCTTGACACTCCTGCTGTTTGAGAAAATAGATTTTCCTTCTCTGTTCTTCCCTAGCCACTGGCTGGTACCTTCATGATGGCATTTGTGGTGATAGCTGACACCAGGCAGCAAGTCACAAGTGAGCAGGGGATGCATCATGTGGTGATCTGGAGCCAGCTCATAACAGCTTATCAGAGCCCACTGTGCACATTTCTTCCCAATTCCATGGTCAGCGACATCTGAACCATAGAAACTGACAAACATTACATATCATGTCTCCACCCCTCCCCCCACCCAGAGAACCAGATATAACGTGTTTACCAGCACACCACTGGCTCTGTTGTATTGGGTCAGTACAAAAGTGATTGTGGTTTTTGCCATTTAAAAGTAGTAGCAAAAACCCCAATTACTTTTGCACCGACCTAATACTTTTATGTATCTGCTGCAATATAGACTGTGCCTGGAGCATAGCAGGTATTTCGTATCAGCTTGGCTAATGGCCTTGAAAATTTAGGAAAGCAATCTAGGGTATGAAATCAGAGTAGCTTTGATTCCAGTTCTGCCACTGACTAGCTGTGCAATTCAGACAAGTCATTTGAACTCTGTGCACCAGTTTCCTTATCTCTAAAATGGACATAGTTACAAGCTTGCCTTTTAGGGTTCTTATGAGGGTTGAGTTAATTTTTAAAAAGCACTTTGAATGATTCTTGGCATTTGTTACTACTAGATAAGTGTTAGCTAGTACGCCCTAAATGTACCTTCTCAGATCAGCACTGGGCACTAGGGAAGTGCTGTCCAATCTGACTGTGCTGAGTTTACTTTGGGGAGCCTGTTAAGAATTCAGATTCCCAGGCCCAAACTCCAGAAAGGCTTGGCAACCTTATCACTAGAGGTTGAAAGCCTATATCCCTCATTAAGATTCCCTAATAAGGGTGTGTTTTATGTGTGCCGTATAGTCTGTGAATCAAATGGGAACTCAATTCATCAGTCCTCACCCTCCCCAAACCCAATATCCACCAGCCTGTAGGGAAGAAAGAAAGAAAAAAAACACAGAAACATGGAAGAAACATAAAAAATTAGGATGCAGTTAGATTTTGTTGAAAGGATCATCCAAAGTGAGGCTCTATATCAAAAGTGAAAGCCTCAAATGTGCTCACAGGCAGCAGTGAGGAAAGAAGCCTGATGCTATTACTCAGCAGCCAGCCCTCCACATGCAAGCCGAACTTGAGCCCCATTGAACACTCACACATTCTTACAGGGATTGTACAATTTCTCACCTCTGAGCTTTGGGTTGTTTTCCCCTCTACCCGGAATGCCCCTTTTCCTTTTTTGCCCTGTTAATTCCTATTTAGTCTTTAAGACTCGGCTCACTGTTATTGGTGTATAGGAATGCTTGTGATTTTTGCAAGTTGATTTTGTTCCTGAGACTTTGCTGAAGTTGCATATCAGCTTAAGGAGATTTTGGGCTGAAATGACGGAATTTTCTAAATATACAATCATGTCATCTGCAAACAGAGACAATTTGACTTCCTCTTTTCCTAATTCAATACCCTTTATTTCTTTCTCTTGTCTGATTGCTCTGGCCAGAACTTCTAATACTATGTTGAATAGGAGCGGTGAGAGAGGGCATCCTTGTCTTGTGCCGGTTTTCAAAGGGAATGTTCCCAGCTTTTGCCCATTCAGTATGATATTGGCTGTGGGTTTGTCATAAATAGCTCTTATTATTTTGAGATACGTTCTATGAATACCTAGTTTATTGAGAGTTTTTAGCAGGAGGGGCTGTTGAATTTTGTCAAACTCCCATTCACAATTGCTACAAAGAGAATAAAATACCTAGGAAAACAACTTACAAGGGATGCGAAGGACCTCTTCAAGGAGAACAACAAACCTCTACTCAAGGAAATAAGAGAGGACACAAACAAATGGAAAAACATCCCATGCTTATGGATAGGAAAAGTCAATATCATTAAAATGGCCATGGTGCTGAAAGTAATTTACAGACTCAATGCTATCCCCATCAAACTACCATTGACTTTCTTCACAGAATTGGAAAAAACTACTTTAAATTTCACATGGAACAAAAAAGGAGCCCACATAGCCAGTACAATCCTAAGCAAAAAGAACAAAGCTGGAGGCATCATGCTACTTGACTTCAAACTTTATTACAAGGCTACAGTAACCAAAACAGCATGGTACTGGCACCAAAACAGATATATAGACCAATGGAACAGAACAGAGGCCTCAGAAATAACACCACACATCTACAGCTATCTGGTCTTTGACAAATCTGACAAAAACAAGCAATAGGGAAAGGATTCCCTATTTAATAAACGTTGGGAAAACTGGCTAGCCATATGCAGAAAGCTGAAACTGGATCCCTTCCTCATACCTTATACAAAAATTAACTCAAGATGGATGAAAGACTTAAACGTAAGACCTAAAACCATAAAAACCCTAGAAGAAAACCTAGGCAGTACCATTCAGGACACAGGCATGAGCAAAGACCTCATAACTAAAACACTAAAAGCCAAAATTGACAAATGGGATCTAATTAAACTAAAGAGCTTCTGCACAGCAAATGAAACTATCGTCAGAGTGAACAGGCAACCTAAAGAATGGGAGAAAATTTTTGCAATCTATCCATCTGACAAAGGGCTAATATCCAGAATCTACAAAGAACTTAAACAAATTTACAAGAAAAAAAAACCCCATCGAAAAGTGGGCAAAGGATATGAACAGACACTTCTCAAAAGAAGACATTTATCAGCCAACAAACTTATGAAAAAAAGCTCATCATCACTGGTCATTAGAGAAATGCAAATCAAGACACAATGAGATACCATCTCATGCCAGTTAGAATGGTGATCATTAAAAAGTCAGGAAACAACAGATGATGGAGAGGATGTGGAGAAACAGAAATGCTTTTACACTGTTGGTGGGAGTGTAAATTGGTTCAAACATTGTGGAAGACAGTGTGGCGATTCCTCAAGGATCTAGAACTAGAAATACCATTTGACCCAGCAATCCCATTACTGCGTATATACCCAAAGGATTAATAAACCATTCTACTATAAAGACACATGCACATGCATGTTTATTGTGGCTCTGTTCACAATAGCAAAGACTTGGAACCAACCCAAACGCCCATCAATGATAGACTGAATAAAGAAAATGTGGCACATATACACCATGGAATACTATGCATCCATAAAAAAGGATGAGTTCATGTCCTTTGCAGGGATGTGGATGAAGCTGGAAACCATCATTCTCAGCAAACTAACACAAGAACAGAAAACCAAACACCACATGTTCTCATAAGTGCGATTTGGACAGTGAGAACACATGGACACAGGGAGGGAACACCACACACAGGAGCCTGTCAGGGGGTGGGAGGTAGGGGGAGGGATAGCATTAGGAGAAATATCTAATGAAGATGACAGGGGTTGATGGGTGCAGCAAATCACCATGGCACATGTATCCTTATGTAACAAACCTGCATGTTCTGCACATGTACCCCAGAACACAAAGTATAATAATAAGACTGTGCTCAAAAATTTCCATTTAAGAATGCAAAACCTTGTGTTACGATTAAGTATCTATGCTTCATTCACTTAAAAGCAGAAGAATTTTCTTATTCATCAGAGTATACTTAACACTTAGCATGGGGCCAGTAATATTGTTAGGGTGAAAAAGATCTGTCCACATTTATTTATTTAATGAATAAATTAATCAGTGAATGAACTGGAATGAACTGGAGGGCTTGGTACTCTAAATGGCCCTATATGTGGGTACAGGCATCAATGACAATGAAGAGGAAATGGGAAAAGTCATTTGGCCAAGTTTCTTCAGCTTCATCACTCAATTCCTAATCTTCTGCTTCTACCAAGGGCCAGAGCCAAGCTGGCCCACTGGTAAAGCCAAATGGTGCTTCACATCATTTTATAAACACATATATTGAAAACAAGCCTCCTATAATCCTAGAAAACGTCTGGAAATAGAACACTGTAGATTTAAATGGCTTTAACAGAACAACAATGGGAGTGTTCTTGGGGAAATAATCATGTCACAACAGCCTATTATTAGGTTGATGCAAAAGGAGTCGCAGGTGTTGCCATTACTTTTGCACCAAACTTATATTTGAAGGAGGGAGGAAGAAAGGGAGATGAGTGAAAGAATGAGAGAAGGAGAGGGAGGGGGAGAAGGAGGGAGAGACAGAAAGAAAATTTTTCAATAGCTTAGAAAACTATGGTTTTTAGACTTTATTGGAAAATTTTTAAAAGTACTGATGCCTCTGAATTGTGATACA